AAGGAGGGAGGGAGAGAAAGAAAGAGAGAGAGAGGAAGAGAGAGGTAAAGGAGAGAGAGACGAGAAGGGAGAAGGGGAGATGGGGGAAGGAAAGGGAGAGAACAAAGTGAAGGTGCCAGCTTTGGAACTAGTTCAGAGAAGATGGGAAAGAAAAAAGGCTGGAAAATAAAAGGGCCAGCAGGACTGACTCTCTGAATCAATCTCTCTCTCTCTCTCTCTCTCTCTCTCTCTCTCTCTCTCTCTCTCTCTCTCCACTCTCCCTCTCCTTCTCTCCCTCCCTCTGTCTTTGCCCCACTGTCTGAGAAGAACTTATGTGGCTAAGATGCGGGGGCCCTCGGGTGTCAAAACTTTGAAGATTAATGGATTACTTTGTTAATGACTCCAGGCGTCAGATTGATTTGTGAGGTGCGAAGCGTCTTCCTGACAGTCCCAAACAATGCTAGGAGTGTGCTGGAGGAGAACGGAGGGCAACAGTCGGCTAGATCAGCATCCCGGACTCACACAGACACACACACACACACACACACACACACACAGATACAGATACACAGACACACACACACGCACACACACATCCACGCGCGCGCACGCGAGAGCACACACACACACACACACACACACACACAGATCTCTCTCGTTTCAGAGGCCAGCGGCCCCCTACTCGCGCACTCCCACCCTAGCCTTTCACACCCACACCCACCAAGATATATTTTTTGCCTTTAAAAAAGTGTAAATAAAGCCTCGCTAGCCCCCAATGAGGCGTTCCTTCCCGACTTTTTTGGATCAATCAAACAGACAGTGGCTTCTTTTGATTAAAGCCCAAATTGTCATTGGGCAGAAGCAATCATGTGACAGCCAATTCGGTCCAATTTCAACCTTGTCTCCATGAATTCAATAGTTTAATAGTAGCGCGGTCCCCATACGGCTGTAATCAGTGAATTAGAAAAAAAAAACACCCCAGCAGCGATCTTCTATAAGAGATTTTTTTTTCTTCTCTCTCCTTTTGCCTGGGCCTTCCCCCCGCCCCCCCTAAACCCCTCCAGAAGAGGGAACTTTTTCTCCGAGGGGGCTCCGAGGAGAAGGCCATGAATTACGAATTTGAGCGAGAGACTGGCTTTATCAATAGTCAGCCGTCGCTCGCTGAGTGCCTGACATCTTTTCCCCCTGTCGGTGATACATTTCAAAGTTCATCAATCAAGAGCTCGTCGCTTTCACAGTCGACACTGATTCCTCCTCCTTTTGAGCAGACCATCCCCAGCCTGAACCCGGGCAGCCACCCCCGCCACGGCAGCGGCGGCGGCCGGCCCAAGTCGAGCCCTGATGGCAGCAGCGGCGGCGGTGGCAGCCCGGTGCCCGCCGGCGCCCTGCAGCCCCCGGAGTACCCCTGGATGAAAGAGAAAAAAGCTTCCAAGAAAACAGCGCTGCCTCCTGCCTCCTCGGCCTCCGCCTCGGCCACTGGACATGCCTGCTTGAACCACAAAGGTCAGTTCAAAGACTTCCCCCCCTACCCCACCCACACCCAACTCAGCTCCTGGATCCCAGCTTTTACCCTTCTTGGTGCTATGGGGCAATTTTTTTTTTTTTTTTTTTAGGGAGTGGGAGGGAGAAAGATGGGGAAAAGTAGAGAGGGGCTGCTTGGCTGCCTTACATTCTGCACTGTGGACTCTGGAGTGGAGCTGGCGGAAGAGAGTAGGCGCTGATGGGTTCCACGATGCTATTAAAAAAAAAAAAAACAACTTTCCCTAACTTGTTTAATATGGGATGATTTATTTGAGTTGGAACTGACCTCCTCTTGTCTTGCTGTCCTACAGTTTGGGTATTTGACAGTAATGAAGAGTGATAGATGGTTCTTGCTCAGCTAAGCAGCTGATGCATTAATTATAAATTGCAGTATGGCTAATATAAAGTTTGTTCCCGGATAGAAAGGTGGGGGACTCGGAGGCATTCGTTTTATTGAGGTGGTAAAGAAGGGCTTACGCGGGGCTGGGAGCTCAAGGAGGGCAGCACAATGGATTTTACTGCATACAAGGGCGGCCATTTTGTGGCAGTGATACTTTATGCTATATTTATTCTCCAGTGGAATAACCCCCGCTTGGACCCTGCACCTCCAACTGTGCGTGTATCTCTTGTCGGTTTCCCTTTCTGCAGAATCCCTGGAAATCGCAGATAACGGCAGCGGGGGCTCCAGGCGCCTGAGAACTGCATACACCAATACCCAGCTCTTGGAGCTAGAAAAAGAATTTCATTTCAACAAGTATCTCTGTAGACCTCGGAGGGTGGAGATCGCAGCCCTGCTGGATTTGACTGAGAGACAAGTGAAAGTGTGGTTCCAGAATCGGCGGATGAAACACAAGAGGCAGACCCAGTGCAAGGAAAACCAAAACGGCGAGGGGAAATACAGGAGCCTGGAGGACCCCGAGAAAGCCGAGGACGAAGAGGAGAAATCACTCTTTGAGCAAGCGCTCAACGTCTCAGGGGCCCTTCTGGAGAGGGAAGGGTACACTTTTCAGCAAAACGCCCTGTCCCAGCAGCAGGCGCCCAACGCGCACAATGGCGACTCCCAAAGTTTCCCAGTTTCGCCTTTAACCAGCAATGAGAAAAATCTGAAACATTTTCAGCACCAGTCACCCACTGTTCAGAACTGCTTGTCAACAATGGGCCTGAACAATGACAGTCCAGAGGCCTTGGATGTTCCTTCTTTACAAGACTTCACCGTTTTCTCCACAGATTCCTGCCTCCAGCTTTCAGAGGCCGTATCGCCCAGTTTACCAGGCTCCCTCGATAGCCCCGTAGACATCTCAGCTGACAGCTTTGACTTTTTTACAGACACACTCACTACAATTGACTTGCAGCATCTGAATTACTAAACACATTAAAAAAAAAAGCAAAACAAAAATCCCTTTGGGGGGTTGCCTTCTCTTTTCCCTGGAGTTGATTTAAAAAAAAATTTCCTTCTCTCCTACCCTTTTTTCCCTCCCCCCAAACTGGCCAGGGTTTTCTGTTTAGTAACTCCCCTGACCGAGTTCCAGAGCCATCTTTGCAGGTTATAATGAAGTTATAGTTGTTTTGGATTTAACCCAAATACCCTCTAGGTGATTCCTTGAAAGCAATATATGAGGCCTGTAAGAAAGTGACCATATAATTTTATTGTCACTTTCTTTTTATTTTTGTATTACATTAGAATGCATTGTCATAAGTATTTTTGGTAGAATAAATTCTCCTTTGCTACAAGTAATTTTCTTATCCCCCTTCCCCCACCAAGATTCATAACGGTTCCTTTCCCTCCTTTTAGTCTAACTTGGTAAATAAAATTCTGCTCACAATCTCTCTTCTTTTATTTCCATTTGAATATATTTATTAGGGGGAAACATTCAGTTTTTATTGTAAAGGTTAGGTGCCAACAGAAGGAAAGTGAGAGGATGGACAGAGCTTCTGAGAAGCATTTCCCCCCCTTTTAAAGTGGATTAGATTTTGTTACCAGACTACAGTAGGTACAAGCCATAGATGCGACCCCATAAAAGAAAGAGAAACGTGTAGCCTCTCTGCCAGGGAAAGTTGGAGTTTTTGAGAGTGGAGACATAAAGTGCCTATGAAATATTTCCCCTTTATGTGATGAATGTGGAGTTCCTCTAAAAAGAAAAAGAAAAACTCCATGTGTCTCTAGGTCCATAGCTAAATCACAAACAATTCGTTTATTTCTACACCTTTGTTTCAAACATCCACATTCCAATGATGACAGCAACAAAAGTCCCATCAAACCCAGCCAAAGGAGTTTGATTAGTCTCCCAGCTGCTGAGAGGTCCCAGGCAAACAGACCTAAAAAACAGAGAAAGAAAAACAAAACAAAATAATGGTTACAGGCTGTCAGATGTATTTCAGAGGGGTTCTTCATTCAACTGGGCCAGTTCAGTCCTTCCAGGAATTTTTTTTTCAGGGTAGGAAAAAAATCAATATTTCATTCTTAAACCTGTTTATATGGCAGATAAAGGGTTCATTAAAGCTTTGAAGTCAGGTTAGCAAATTGAAATCTAAAATGGAGTGTAGGTCAACACAACATCTTCTAAAGTAAGGAAGATTCCCAAGTCAGAGCAAAAAAAAAAAAATCTATAAAATACATAAAATGCACTTTAAATGAACATCAATAAAATGTGATGTAGGGCTGTGCTATTGGGTTGTTCTGGTTTTTTTTTCTCTCTCTTATTTTCTTTCCCCTTTTTTCTTCCCCCTTTCTGTGAACAGTGTTATTTACCGTGAGAAAACAGAGTGCAAGCAACATGTGTGAGTGGGCTGGTCTGATTTACTAACCGACGACCTTAACAGTAATAGTTTGGCAGTTAACAATGAAATCTCGGCTCTGTGGGTGTGTGAATGCGCGCCCCCCTCCAACTCCTCAGTCCCCCCTCCTTAAAGAACTATCCAGCATCTGGGAGAAGTTGCAGGATTCTCTTTGCCCGAGCTCAGTGGAGAGAGGCTGAGCTGGGAGTTTGCTGTGCTGTGCTGGGCTGTGTGGGCCAGAGCTGGGAAAAGGGCTGGATAGGATTCTTCCTACTGCTCATAAATCAAACTCTTTCTATGAATGAGAATGTCATCAAAGAGATCAATTGTGTGAACACATGCACAAATACAAGTCCTCTTACGTATTTGCCCGAGCTGGGGATCCCCGTCTGAAAGCATTAAGTTAGGAGGCGTTTAAGCTATAAGTCATTTTTATTGCTCTTTTAAAACAACAGCTTGGCTAAGCTGCCGATGCCACGAAAAGCTCAGAGCTGGGCTTTCCGCCCCCCCCCCCTTTCTTTCTAGGAGAAGGGCTTTGGGCGGAGGGAAGAAGCGCTTTAAACCTAGCCACTCTCTTTTTATTTTAATGACGGTCTCTCTGCCCTTCCCCTGACTGCCCCTAAGCTTTCCATTTTTAAAAAGCATGAGGTTCTTTGATCGCTGGGTGCTCTCACTCTCAACCCCCCCGGGCCCAAAGAGGGCTCTAAAACTGGTTCGTCAATTTCGAGATCAATTTCCTCCTGGGTGGGGAAAGGTTTTGCCTCTTGATCGCCTTGTGTTTCTGGGACCAGTCTTTTGTGAGATGGCCAGTGGGGAGAAAGCTCAAGAAAGGCGAAATACGCTGAAGGAAGTGGGGGCCATGGTCTGGACTACGCCGAGCCCGTGGGAGCCGGGCCCAGGGAGCTGAGAGGCTGAGCCGATGGAGAAACACCAGCAGGTACAGTATCTCGGTTTCTGTTGACGGCTTTGCCTGCGTGAATGTGTGTTTGTGGGTATTTACACACACCAGGGAAACCCCTCGCTGGGGCTTCCACTTAGTGGGAAAGAGGAAGGAGAGAGGGAAAAGAGGAAAGAAGGGGAGAGAGGGAGGGAGGAAAGAGAGGAAAAAAGAGGGAAAGAGAAGATGAAAGTGGGAGGGAGGATAAAAAGGAAAGAGAAGAGAGAAAGAGAAAAAGAAAAGAGAAAGTGAGAGGAGGGAGGAAAAGGAAAAGGAGAAAGATGGAAAGAAAACGAGGAGGGAGGGAGGAAATGGAGGAAAGAGAGGGAGAGAGGGAAAGAGAAGAGGAAAGAGAGAGATGGAAATGGGAGGGAGGATAAGGAGAGAGGAGAAATAGAAAGAGGGAAGAGGAAAAGAGTGTCAGAGGACTGAGGAAAAGGAAAGGGAGAGAGAGGGAAAGAAAAAGAGGAGAGAGTGAGGGAGGAAATGGAGGAAATACAAAAAGAGAGTGTGAGAGGGAGGGTGGGAAAGCAAGAGGGCAAAGGAAAGAGGGAGAAAGAGAGAGGAGGGGGATGGGATGGGGGGAGTAGAAGAAAGCAGACAAGATGGAGAGGCGATGGAACACATTCGATCATTCCCTATTATGTTTCATTGTGACTGAGTAGGCCACAGACTCCTAGGCTGAGTGAGAGGCTGACAAAAGAGATGAGGTTTACTAAAACAAAGATGTAGAAATGGAGAAAAGAGGGGGGACTCTCAGCTGAAGCTGTGCTCCCAGAAAAGAAGGCCCTTAGACGAGATGATTGTCCAGCGCCCTCCTTCTCTGTCTCCCCACCCCCACCCCCCCATTCCAAGCCCTGCCCCCACAGTCTCTGAGAAGGAGCCTCAGAACTGGATGCTGGCCTGGGAAGAGAGGAAAGGGGCAATACTCCTCAACCAAGGTCCAGACTTTTTCTTCTCAGAGGCTCCAGCCTGCCAGGTGGCATGGTGGTGATCCTGCTCGAAGAGGCTGTTGCTGGCTCACTCGGGGCCTGCTTCAGTATCTCATCGTGGCTATGTGTCTAAGTGCAAAGGAGCAAATGAAAATAGAAGGGAAAAAGCACTGGGGAGGAGAGAGCAGAAATGGAGGAGGGACAGGCTGAGGGGTGGGTGAAGCTGGGGAATATTCTCCGGTTTTGTTCTTCCCTCTCTGAGGAGGAGACTACTAGGGGAGAGGGCTCAATATGGAGGAGAAAAGGAGCTCAGGGTTTATATTTTAGGACACAAAACAGAAAGGGAAGGTGGTAACGCAGAGATTTCAAATGGGCCCACTCAAAATCTAGTTCTTAAAATTGGAGGGTGTGGGGGGAAACAAGTAACGACCCAAAACCAGCCTCCAGATCTATGGCCCTCGGGATCACCTCCTCTGCCGAGGTCTGCTCTAAACACAGCCCAGAAATTTGTGCCTACCTAGGGAGCAGCCTCGCAGAACAGAGAGATTCCTTCTCCCTGACCTTCTCTGCCTCGCTGCTTGTCCCAGCTCTTTCCTGTCTGTCTCTCTCTGGCTCGTTCTACTTGGCCTTTTCTCTGCCTGCCCAGGGTTGACACGGAGCCCAGTGCCCCACAGAAATTAAAGAGCCCATTAGTAGCTGTGAGAGAACGAAGGTGACTGAAAACAGGACCCCTAGCTTGGGAAGAGATTCCTGCTAGTAGCAACGCAAACCTCTAGGGAAAACTAGCCAGCCAGTGCAGTCGAGAAACCATGCAGGGGAGGCTGGTCCTGGCTGTGGGGAGGGAAGGGGTGTAGCAGGGAGGGGAAAGCTCACTTTCCATCATCAACCATCTGTCACCCCTCCCACTTGGCAGCCCCCACCTCCAACTCCAGACTCACCGGATGGTGGCCCTAGGAGTGTTGGGGTACGATTGGGGTGAGCGAGAGGAGGAGAATCGTGAGAACGTGGTCTAGCCTCGCCCCCCTCCCAGGATGGAGGAACTTAATCTAGTTAATTCTTAGCCCTCTCCCTGTCTTTTATACCTAGGCACTTGGCCCGGGGTTGGGGTTAGGCAGAAGCCTGGGATGTACTGGCCTGCGTGTGGTGGCCCTCCAGCGCTCCAGGGGAGCCTACCAGATGGACAGCAGCGCCTAGACCAGCCCCAGAGCTGGGCCATATTCGCCAGCGTCTGCCCCTTCCCCCTGCCCCCTCCATCCTTCTGCAGAGTTACTCGCCGGTCACCTCGGACTCCCCAGGCAGAGTCGGTTACAGGGGGGAGGAGAAAGGGCGGGGCGAGGGGGATTGCTGCTGCCACGGCGGCCTTTCCCGGCAATCCAGGGTCCCCCAGCTCTCCCGCCCCCGGGAGTCAGATTACAACAACGTCTCATTGCCATGCTAATAGCTGGGGGACTGGGGCAGATTGGGGAAGGGGGAAGCTCCTTGGCTTTGGAGACCTTCAGTGGACCCCCCTCCTCCTCCTCGTCCTCCTCCTCTTCCTCCTCGTCCTCCTCCTCTTCCTCCTCTTCCTCCTTCTCCTCCTCTTCCTCCTCCTCTTCCTCCTCCTCGTCCTCCTCCTCTTCCTCCTCCTCCTCCTCCTCCTTCGTCGTCCTCCTCCTCTTCCCCTTCCTCTTTCTCCCTCCTCCCTCCCCCTACTCATTTTCTCTTCTCCGCTCCTAGCCTCCTCCCACACGGGCCTGGAGATTTCCTCGCCAGACCATCCCCTTCTTCTCCCAGTCGCTGTTCCCAAAGGGAGTTCGTGGTCATGACAATAACCAGAGAGCGGGGCAGCTAGGAACAGAGCGGAGCACACTCACCGGGAGGCTGGGGCGCGGGTGCGGGGCGGTCTCCTTCTTCTTCCTCCTTGACTCACTCCGGGGTCGGGGGTAGTGGGGAGGGTGAGGGGCTCTCCCACTCACCTGCAATTGGCAGGCCAGTTCAGTGCAGACTGATACCCAACCTCGCAATCCTGACCAGAGCCAGGACGCTCCCTGCCAAGCCCCACGTCGTCCTCCTCCTTTTTTTTTCCTCCTCTTCCTCCTCGCTGTGCCCCGGGGATCTACCCCACTCCCCCATACCCCATGCAACTCCTGATGGGGCGGAGCGGGAGCCTCCAGCGGCGGCAGCGGCAACGATGGCGGCTCCCTCTCGGGCTCGGGTTCCTCCCGGGCCCGGCCCCAGAGCGGGGCTCCTGCCGTTGCCGCTGCCGCCGCCACTGCCGCTGCCGGGGGGGCGTCTGCGCGTCACCTTGATGGAGGAGCGCCCGGGATTTAAATGCCACTGAAACGGTGATCCATCACCAGCAGGAACAGGCAAACTTTCGCAGGGGGCTCCGCCATTGGCTGCCGCGGTCACGTGCGCCCCGTCCCTCCTTCACCCTCCCCCGCCCCCTGCACACTGTACATTCATATCATTTTTCTCTTTGGCCCCATGGAGGAAGTGAGAAAGTTGGCACGGTCACCCAGGGCTCGGAAGGACCCGGTCCCTGTGTGACAGGCAGATGGACAATGCGAGAATGAGCGCCTCCTTCCTGGAGCACCCCATCCTCAACGCAGGAGACTCGGGGACCTGCTCCGCCCGAGCATACCACTCTGATCATGGGATTACAACTTTCCAGTCGTGCGCGGTCAGTGCCAACAGCTGCGGGGGCGACGAGCGCTTCCTGGTGGGCAGAGGGGTCCAGATGAGTCCCCCCCACCACACTCACGCTCATCACCACTACCCCCAGCAGGCAGCCTACCAGCACCTCAACAACCTGGGTATGTCTTATTCCCACTCCAGCTGTGGCCCGGGGTTCGCATCGCAGAACTTCAGCGCAGGTTACAGCCCCTACTCATTAAATCAGGAAGCAGACGTAAGCGGCGGGTACCCCTCGTGCGCTCCCGCTGTTTACTCTGGAACTCTCTCATCTTCCATGGTCCAGCATCATCACCACCACCACCACCAGGGTTATGCCGGGGGCACGGTGGGCTCGCCTCAATACATTCACCACTCATATGGACAAGAAGCGCAGAATCTGACCCTGGCAAATTATAATAACTCCTTGTCCCCTCTCCATGCCAGCCACCGAGAAACCTGTCGCTCTCCTTCAGCAGAGACATCACCTCCAGCACAGACCTTTGACTGGATGAAAGTCAAAAGGAATCCCCCCAAAACAGGTCAGTTCTCTTCCTGCAGAACACCTGGCCATTGCTGCTGCTGCCTTGAGGGTCTAGGGGTGGGGTGGTGGGGTGGGTGTAGGCTTACCTAGTATTTGGGGGGGGGAGTCAACTCAAGGTTATGTATAGGTTTTGTAGGGGGTGGGTGGGGTGGAGAACTCAGGTGTACTCAGGTGAATGATGCCCAGGAAGTAACAGAGAGGAGGCCAGTCCCTCTCTCTGGCTTCCTGAAAGTAGGAGCTGGGGGGTGGGGTGGGGGGGATGCTGTTAATATCTCCGGACTCCCATTAATCACGCTTTCTGTTCACACCAACGGTTGACTTCAAGTTAGTACTTTGTACCTCATCAGTCACCCTTCTAGGAGTGCTATGTGGTCAAGTCAGGTTATCCTTTGCCCCTTTACCTGACTTTGATTCGGAAGGCTAACGGGTATAAATCACTCGCACTTCGTTAAAAAAAAAAAAAAAAAGAACAACCAAACGACAGAACTACTTCTTTTCTCTCCCCTCTCCCCCCTCCCCACCCTTGCCCTCCAGGGAAAGCTGGTGAATACGGGTATATTGGCCAACCCAACACGGTGCGCACCAATTTTACCACCAAGCAGCTGACTGAGCTGGAAAAGGAATTTCACTTCAACAAGTACCTGACTAGGGCCAGGAGGGTGGAGATCGCAGCCTCGCTGCAACTCAACGAGACCCAGGTCAAGATCTGGTTTCAGAACCGCCGCATGAAGCAAAAGAAGAGAGAGAAGGAGGGCCTGCTACCCATCTCGCCCACCACCCCATCACGGAGCGAGGACAAGGCCGAGGAATCCTCAGACAAATCTACCTCCTCGCCCTGCATCCCCTCTTCCCCAGCCTCCTCTACCTCAGACACTCTGACTACCTCCAACTGAGTTTGCCCCCGGCCCCTGTCTTCCTCCCTCCACCCCCCACCCCACGATACTTTAGTGCAGGACTACTAACCCGAAGCACATTCTTAGCTTATCTTTCCCTTCGTTTACAATGTCTCTCTTTCTGCTTGATGTTATCTTCGGGTCTTCTCCGGGCTAGGTCACTGTGTTTCAAGAGAATTCTGGCCTAGAGACCTAGAGGCTGGGTGGGAGTAACTTCACTAATGGTGGGGTGCCACCATCTGGTTTTTGGATGATCTCTGAGGGCCCCCTATCCATGATTGATTCAGATACCCTTTGGAAAAGCTCCATCATGCCCCCTCCCCATGCTTGCAGAGCGGACATATCTGTCATCTAACTTCAAATTATTTTTCTTCCCCTCATCCTCCTTCTCCTCATCTCCCAGACACTAAAGGCAGAGTCTAAAGGCCTCAAGAAGAGGATGCACTATGAAAGTGTTTACACAATTCAGCTTTTTAATTTAATGCATTCAGTTTCTTGTGTGAGAGTTTGCTGGTTGTAAATACTTTAAGAGATTTATCTTTATACAGATTTTCTAGAAATGATGTTTAGCTTAGGAGATTAAAACAGGGTGGATACACTCCCAAAGCTGGGTGTAATTTTATACAGGACTAAAAGTGACAAAATAAAGACATCAGACTGGACTAGTGAAGCCCGAACAGATACCCCACAGGGAAGTAGCCCTGTGTCTTTGAAGGACACATGTAGGCCTGGGCTGCACTGAGTTTTTTTTTTTTTTACTTTGTTTTGTTTTTTTTTGTTTGTTTGTTTTTGTTTTTGTTTTTTTGTAATCTTCCTTGGGTGTGCAGTGTCTCTCTTCCCCAGCCCTGCCACCTCTTCCGGCCTCCTCCTGCCCCAATCAAAAATTGTGCTGGATTATCCTTGAACTTTAGGGCATATTATTCCCAAACATCTTATTTCCACAGTAATCTTTCCCTCGATTTGATGTATTTCCAACCGAATCGTAAATGTGATAAATGGCGAAATGAATGTATATTTCATGTGATTCGTGAATAGGCTTTCTGCATGGTGCACAATGGTTTGAGCCCCCAAAGATACTACACTGAGTTCTATCAGTTGTCCTTTGTGGTCCCACAATGTTTCTGAGTCTCTGTACAATCATGAAAAGTTCTGAGATCCCAAGAGTGATGGAATCCAGAGCAGAATTTACGGGTCCTAAAATATCTGTAATAAATATATTCACATTTCAGGTATGTTTGGGCTTCCTTCTATTTTCCTCCAATCTGTTGCAATTGATTTCAACTCGGGTTGATCATTTCATGTGGGAAGGGGAAGGGGAAGGGGGTGTCTCTTACTTTCAAAGAGGCTGTCCTTTATTGGATAAAGTCAATTTTTTCCTCTTCATCCTGCAGCTAAAACCCACCCTTCCTGGATCATTTTTGACACCTCACATTTGACACCTAAATTCTGCTTCTGGGTGTGTGGGATTTTTTTTTTTTTAAAGGAAGGTGTTTTGTTTTTTTTTAAAGTTGAAACCATAAGGAAATTTATGAAGTGAATCTATTCTTGCAACAAATACAGGAACTTCCTGGGTCAAGTACTAACCTTTTCACCTCTAACTGAATGTTGACATATATATAAACAGACCTCCCTTCAAAAGCACAAACTGTCTTCAGCCAGTCTTTCCTCACATCAGTGAGCCAACAGTCAAGGGACTCACATTTAATTACCTCCAATATGAAGCTGTCCTCGGAATGGAGTCCTCCCTCTCTCCCTTATTACCCTTTATGCACCTTTCCTCTCTGCTGATTGTCAGCCACAGCTTTCAGTATCTTCTTTTCTGCTCCCCCTCCCCCAACTCTTCCTGTCCTTCTTCCATCTCCTCCTTCATCCTTCCCTCTACTCCTTAAGTTCTCAGGTAAGCTTCATTCATCTCCAAACCCAAATCTGATTTTAAAAGTTATGCCAGACCTGGAACATTTTGCTGGGAGATTCTTGATTCCTGGGCACATGCTACAGTTAGCGAGAGGCCCCAGGAGAACTGGTTCCCTATTTCCCTCTGCATCCACTTTCAGGTAAACTTGTAAGTTTCTTCAAGGTCTCACACCGCCCAGCTGCACAGAGCCAGAAATCAGAAAAGGAATAACATTTCAAAGCTACAGGGTTTACACCTATGCCTTCTTCCAAATCTTTACCGCCACTCCACCCACCCCCCTTCACACGTTTTAGCGGAACATTCCGCCCCCAGTGCTTCCAGAAAGGGAAAAATCCTGGCATCCTTCAAAGGACAAATACATGTTTCTCCTAAGAAACAAATAAACAAACAGCCTGGGCTTCCTTTCTTCCCCAACAAAGGAATGCTTTGCACGGAGCATCAGGGCTGCAAAGTTGCAGGTTCGGTGGAGCATCTACGCGAGATTCCTCATTTCCTTGTCAAAGGAGACAAGTCTCGATTTGCAGGCGCGTCGGCCATATCAAGGGCACCAGGAGAGGGCTAGGGCTCCCTGCGTCTGCGCTGGGACCGTCCCTAAAAAGACTGCAGTGGATGCAGCCAACTTCAAAGCGGAGCCAGATATTTCTTTCATTTTCCCGCCCGAGCTTATACTGTATCTTTTGTTTATTAGTGTAAGGGCACAAAACAAAACAGATGGTCTCCTTCCAAATACTTTCATGTGCTAAAGGAGGCATTTGCATGCCACCGACCCTGATTTCAATATCTAAGAGCAAGAGGGGTTCCAACCCCGGGGCTCTCAAGTGTCCAGGTACCGGTTTTTTAATGGAACTGGGAGGAGGAAAAGGATCAATTACAGCGAAATTAACCAAGACTTTTCTCTGTGGTGGGATAAATCAGCTAACGAGCAATGCATTTAGGACACATTAATATACCTTTCAGCAACGAAAACATTTGTATCTTTTTAGCTGTCCCAATCGATTAAATCAAAATAGCTTAACATGACCTACTTCAAGGTCTCTTTGGGTCTCGGAGGAAAGCAGACAACTCAGTAAAAAAAAAAAGTGATAAGGGTGATTGAAACCCCAGAAAGAGCTAAAACGGGGGAACCCCCCACTTTTTACAGATTCAAAATCAGTAGCCCGTGAGAGGTGCATCGTGGGACGGGAAGGGTTTGGAGATCATCTTTCTCAACCTTCCTGGTTTACCAAAGCATGGTCCTCCCCGACCCATAGTTCAGAGTATCCCCCAACCCAAGCCGGGTTTCAGATTTTTCCTGCAGCTCGGGCCTTAGATAGAACAGCCCCCTCCTTCCAAGTTTACTTTTGGAGCTTAGGCAGAGGCTGGGGTGTTTTCCTCTGGGGCAATCAGATTCCAACCGATCAATATTTACTCAGTCTGAAAGGGTTGTTGAAAAGGCAGCATCAGCAAACTGCTTAGCTGCTCACCCCAGTTTAATCTCAGGTTCACTGAAAGTTCAAACAGAAATTAATTCAGAGATGGGTCACTTTAGAAAGAGTCCTCTGCTGAAGGCAAACAATTCCAGTCCCATCCCTCTGGAGGAGGGGGGCGACTTTCCCATTCTTTTTTGGCTAAACAGTGTTTACTAAAAACTTAAACCACTTTCCTCTCCCTCCGTAGGGGTCTTTTTTCGAGGGGGTAGTTTCCCTGCTGTCCTCTTCCTACCCTCCACTCCTGTTCTAGCTTTCCCTTCACTTGGCCTAAACTAAATTGCACCGAATATTTAAAAAATGTTAAATTAGACTGATGAAACGGATCCTATTTATTTCCAATGCCACTAACTATGAAATAGAGTTCTTTGTGACATTACAGCACATTTCTTAAGTCTAGGAGAAGTACTGGGCGAGATTGGATAGAGAAGTCCATTTACGCCTTTCTCTAGGCCTGGATGCAGAGTCCAACCAGGGGATGAGGTGGGAGGAGAGGCTGGAGAAATCAAGGAGTAATATATATATATTGAGAGATGCCTTGGAATCCTGATGAACTCCAGTTCCATCAGTTGTGGGGGGCAGAGGAGGGAGGGGAGAAAGCAACGGAATTGAAGAACCCCAGGATGGAAAGGAGGGTGAAGAGGTTACTGTTGGAGGTGGGAAATGCTGCACATCATGGCTAATTGCCACGGAGCTCCAGAGGTCAGAGTTCACATAATACTGCATAAATGAATGCTCAATGGAGACTTATTAAACTCTCTCCTAATGGCAGCTCACGCTTGGCCAAAAGTAGGAATATTCCTTCCCAAGAAGAGGCATTCATATGGGAGAAGTGACCCTTTTGTATTTTTACTTACAAAAAGGAAAAATGTCCCTTTTGTGCTCTCCATGCCCACACACTTATTTTAAATACTATACATGGATGGAACATTTCATTTTCTGATTGTGCTGCAAACGTGCTCGTCTTGGCATTTTCAATAGGCAGGAAAGAAATATTCACAGGGACTTCTCTATTAGGGTGGCCTACTTGGGAAGAGACAGACTACTTCATAATAGGAAAGTTCCCTTGGTGGCTGAATTTCAGAGGGTAAGCTGAGGCTTCTGGTTTCTCAGCCTTCTTCTGGAGATTCAGGGACAGTTTGGTTTCTTCTTTTTTCAAGAGCAAAACGCTCCTTCCCCCCCATCTTCTGGTGCACTTACTAGTTCCTTTCCAAAAAAAAAAACAAAAAACCACTCCACTCCTGTTTGGTTTCTTTCACACACCTGCGACAAGAGTGAGGGAGGCTCTCAAGTTCTTGGTCCTCGATTTTCTTACTGGTCAGATTTTCTGCTAAACACTCCATCCAGTGGTCTGGTCTAAGGTTGTGTGGGTTACTGATCCCCCAGCACCTCTCTGCCCACTTCTGTTAATATATCACCAATCGAATCCAGATCCTAGTAATTAAACACTGGGAATGTAGTTTCACTAAAAAAATTTTTTTTTAAGATTTGAGAGAAGACACGAAATGTCAATTCTGTGAGAACTGGGTTTCACAAACATTTAAAAAATTCAATCTAGATCTGGGAAAGAATCATCGTGAAAGTAAACCCCCGGCATTAAGGGTTTGACCCTATTAAATTGGCAAATGTTGCTGTCAGTGAGGCGGGGCCCAAGGGCTCTGCTAACACATTCCAGGTTGGATTCTCACGCTGAATTTTCTTCCTGCCTTGGACCTTTTCCGCAACTTGGCCTCCTTGCCTGTCTCTGCCCGTATTCCTTCATTTCCTTGGGTGACTCACTCTTTTCCCTGGAGAAAAAACCCCCACCAGCTATCGTCTGAACCTCAGCCTTGCACTTTTTCTTTCTGCCCGTCGGGTGGATTCCCCAGGCTGGGGATTATTGGGCCCATCGCCCCGCATCAGTGCTGGAGGCAGCTGGGAGAATCCCTCGAGGCTTATCTTACACCATCCTGTTGGTAATCACCCCAGTCATCGAACTCAGCTGACCTTCGATTGCAGTACTCATGACTACAGAGAGCAGCCGGGCCGCTCGGTCCAGGTTGACTCTATGCATCTTTACTTTCTCAATTCCCTTTATTCCCTTCCACCTTCATCCGTATAGTTTTGTGATCCCGAAGCACAGGAATTTTCCTTCTAGCCAATGACTCCATAACGGCTGCATCTGGGTCTTGGCTATGGGAAATAAATTACGGTCTCGGCTTTCGCTTTCAACTTTGGGGACGCAAGTCAAGAAGTGTATCTCAATTTAAAAAAACAAATCTTCCCGGGAATTAGAGGAATATGAAAATGTACTTTCGCTTTTTATCTGATTTGGAGTCAATTTGTAGGAAATCTTAGGACCTTTAATGTTCTGTACCATGGACTGGAGTGTAATTAATAGCTTTTCGGACATTAAAAAAATCAACAAAAACCACAGGTTCAATACTGTTCCATCCTTTCTCCTCCCCCCAAACAACAACAACCAAAACCCAGCAGCAGCAACAAAACAGGCCAATATACCCTTTCTTTTAACAGAAAATAAGGAAGAGGGGAGTTCTGGTGAATGACCAGTGAATGCCCGGATTATGCCTTTTTGGGAGGTTCCTTTTAAAGGAAAGGCGTCACATCGGGGCTGAAACAAACGTTGTCGATTTTAGGTTCTCGTATGGCACCCACTCTGGTGGTCCTCCGAGGGATGCGGGGGTGAATGGAGGACCGGGCTCTGGTCTTCCAGTGGGCTGATAGGATTTCCCCAGGGCTGCATTGCAGGGAGCGCCAGAGCTTTGTCCTCGCTCCAAGAGTAGCCGCAGTCATTCCCCAGAACT